GTTACATGATTACTAAGCAGAGATGAAAAGACAGATAAAATTAACAAGATAAGAAGTTGAGAAATGAAAATATGAGTATTTATAACAGTGAAATATAAATTTGTTGAGTTTTATCATATATGAAACTTATCAATTGAATGAACTTGACATACTCCAGTTTTGATGCTCACATGGAAATTTGAAACCAAATACCATGTCACTTTAAATGTCAACATGTTATCATCCAATTAATGACTGAGTCTGGACAACCACTAGCTTATTTTATTTAGTTAAACACATAAATATTGGTACAAGGAGGCATTAAACAGATATACACCACATAAATCATACGATTTGTGTGAGGGCTGGGATATTGCCTGGGTGCTAAAACCGAAGCAGATGGTTTAATTAAAAGGCCACACCCTGAACCTTTGACCTAAAGGTCTAATCCACAATACAGTGGAGCAACGTAAGGAGATACAGTTCCATGGTAGCCGGTAACTAACGATTGCTTCACCACCACCCCATTTGTTCCTTCAGGATACTGGAGCCCATGTGCACTATCGGTCTAGAATCCAAGTTTTCCAACTCCTCTAGGTGGATCCTCTGTATCCACAATAAACCACTGGCTTACTTGACGGGTATGAATTTATTTGTAAAGATTTGTATTTTACTACTGTTCATATTGATGATTGTAACTGATCTCCTTCTATAATGATATATATGCATTCTAAGCGGATAGTCTAGGAATTAGCATTCAATCACAAATATCAGTAAATTTTAATTTTGTCGGGATCATAGACAAAAATTATCAAATAATCAAAAGGTAAGCAATATACAACATAAATGTTAAGCGGTTTTAAAAGATCATAAGTAATTTCACTAAAACTCGTGAATTCAATATACCCCTCCTCCCCATACATATATATATATATCTATACACGTTATCCCAGCAACAAAGTTTTTTTTTAATAATTAAACTGCCAAATAAAAATCAAACAGGAGACAATATCACAGTAAGAATGAAAAACAAAACTATTGGTAATGCATAGATTTATGTGAGAGTGTTGAGTCATATTCATTACTAAACGATTATTTTCCTGTATCCAAAAAAAAAACCCAGAGAGATAAATGTAGACAACGACAAAAATGTGAAAACTCAGACATAGATGACAAATGTACACACATATATATACATACATACATACACAGTAACTGGTAGACGCCTTAATTATGACGAGGTTCTATCACTAACGCAGACAACAACTTAATATTTTATGTCAACGAACGTGAATGACTAATTGAATAATAATAATAATAATATGTAAGGGGTAACAAACAGTGAAATCATTTCTATGTTTACAATCATTGAGTGTATTCAACATTTTTATAATAGGAGAGAGAGAGGGGGGGGAGAAATAGAAGAAAATCAATTTCATTTTTCGAAGGAAATAGGTAATAATTACCAAGATGTATTTCATCTTCCATTTTATATGATGTACGAAACAGTAAACTTTTCAAAAAGGAGTGAATAGCTTTTCCTTTCTCTTTTTTTAAAAAAAAGTGAGACATAAAGCATACTGTATCGTTAGTAATAAGATAAGATCAATAATTACCCGTTCCTATCGGGTCGATGAAATATTCACCCTTTTGTTAAAAATGCTAGAATATTTCACGATAATCCTTATTGTAGTTTTATATCACATGTTGGCCTTAGGTAAAATGATCACCAAACATGAGAGAATACTGGCCCTCGAATTCCCTGGTATAGACAGGGAGTGAAGAGAGTCAGCTGTCCCTCTCGAAATGCTCTCACATGGCCACGCGTATATAGCCTCTGTTAGGAAAGTCCTACGGTGAGTCCACCTAGGGGAGTTGGAAAACTGGGATTTTAAACCGATAGTGCACATGGGCTGGCTCCAGTATCCTGAAGGAACAAATGGTGGATGAACCAATCGTTGGTCACCGGCTATCATGGGACTGCATCTCCTTACGTCGCTCCACTACCTTGTGGATAAGACCTTCAGGTCGAAGGCTCGGGAAGTGGCCACCTTAAAAAAACCACCTGCTTCGGTCTGGGCACCCGGGCAGTAGCTCGGCCCTCACATATATTAAATGAGATTTGTGTGGCGCATATGTATTTGGTGCCTCCTTGTACCAATATCTGTGTTAAAATAAATAAATAAATAACTGACCAGTTGATTTGTCTTAGTATATGACTCCTTAGTAGTGTACATATACGAAGCAATCAATTTATTTATTTAAAAACATAAACATTGGTAAAAGGAGGCATCAAATAGATATGCGCCAAATAAACCATTCGATTTATGTGAGGGTTGGGATACTGCCCGGGTGCCCAGATCGAAGCACGTAGTTTTCTGAGAAGGACACATCCGGAGCCTTCAACCTAAGGGTCTGATCCACAAGGCAGTGAAGCGACTTCAGGAGATGCGATCTCAAGGTAGCCGGTCACCAATAATTGGATTATACCCCATTTGTTCCTTCAGGATACTGGAACCCATGTGCACCATTGATTTGGAATCAGGGTTTTCTAACTCCCCTAGGTGAATACTCTGTGTCCAACAGTCCGGTTAAGGCGTTAGACATTCGATTTTCGTCCTGTCAGTTTCGTGAACAACACCGCCGCGAGAATGCAGTTACTAGGACTTCCCTGACAGTAGCTGTATGCACATGGTCATGTGATAGCATTTCGAGAGGGAGAGTTGACTCTCCCTACTCTCGGCCATACTAGGTCATTCTGGGGCCAAAGCTATAGACTTACTATCCCATAATTGATTATCTTTTAAATCAATCAATTAGACTCATTAACATTAAACATAATTCTCAATTACAAAATAGATATAGTGATTAACTAATTAATTTCTTTTTATATTCCATAAGATCATTTGATATAAGATATAGATAATTTACTTAGAAATACATTACTAAAGTACTTCTCAAATTTGACTAATGTCCTTAGAAATTTTGATTAACAATTAAAGAAGTTTATTTGAAGAAAACAATAGAAAAGAGAAAGAGGGAAATCAATAAAGTTTTGGACGAGGACAAATTTACTATTAACATCAACAACCACAACAACAAGAAACAATGAAGAAGTGATTACGAATCGAATTTATGAATATTAAATAGAATTTGTTAGAACACTGTTTTTAAGCCTCTGTTTTGCTATGGATAATGACAATTTAGTAATGTTAATAGTTGAAATCACGAGTCCATTGAAACTAGACCAAAATAGAAAACCTGGAAGCACTGGATAGCCGTTTCGTCCTAATATGGGACTCCTCAGCAATGCGCATCCATGATCCCGCCCCCCCGCGAGATTCTAACCTAGGGCCTATCAGTCTCGCGCGCGAGCGCCTAACCATCTCCACAAAATCCCTACTGATAATTTAGTAATGCACAAAGTAGCTGTTTCATGAGAGACACACACACACACAGAGTGGAAACAACTGGATACATTTGAGTTAGAATCGATAGTTCAATAATTTCTAAAATAATCACAATTCATATTTTTACATTATAGACTAGACTGGAAAAAATGTATCATTAAAAAGCTTTTAATAATTGGAAAACAAGCACTTTCTTGTTTATTCTAATTTCCATAACGAAAAACCAAGCAATAGTATTTCACAATTACATCAGTGATAGTAAATCAGTTGATGAGGTTGTGGATTCACATTGACTGAGATGGTTGGGCCACGTGTTACGTATGCCTGAACACCGATTACCAAGACGCGCAAGTTAGTGGAGGTGAAACCAAAACGCGACAGTCCATAAAGTCATTAACTTCTAGTCTAAGCCATTTTGGTAGATGCAGACTACTTGGTTGGGGTCCGCGTGACTATCGTAACCAATGGTTGAGAACTGTGGGTGACATGACTCAGAATCGATCATAATGGTGTAGGTGTATACACTCTCTGTCTCCCCTCAAACTATGAGATTAAAATTACTGTATACCTTTCTTTCTACGAACTAATTCCTTCTCCCTGTATTAGACAGACTGGCTGAAATTAACATAGAGGACCAATGAATCAATGAATGCCAGAAAACAGCATCGTGTAATTATTTCATTCCAGTTCCAGACAGTTTCACAGTTTATCACCCCTACAATTCCATACAAAAGTATGCCGAAAATTTATGAAGCGGCACAAACTTAATCCAATATTACTATTTGTGATTTATTGTCTCACAACTCTTGATTAACCTTAAAGAACATACGTATTCATGTCATTGAAACTTTGAGGAAACTCATCTTGAAGTAAGTTAATCAAAAGTGAGTAAAATAATGACTTCAATGGATTAAGCTATTTGACATCTAACCTCCAATGATCATAGTTTCAAACTTCAATTCGTCCACTTTAATTTACCTAGTCCTATGATATCATTAAGACAAATACAAACAGCATGGATCAAATTTATATAGAAAGACGCCCATTAGGTAAATGAGATTTAATGAGCATATAATAAGTAGTAATATAATGTTATGAGGTTATTCTTAAAGATTTTTGTGTAATTCGTAACAGTCATAGTTTATTCACTAATCATACTACAATCTTTAATTAATAAACTTAGACATTTAGACAGATTCTAAATCATACCACTTAACATTTCAGAAAATTGGTTACAATAATCACATAGATTCTAATCAGATAACCTGGATCTACTAACATGACTAAGATCAACAGTCAATAATATCATGAACTGGGAGGGGATGTCACGTTTTTGCTTGCCCATGCGTAGTTATCTTTCAACATATTCTTACATCAATAACTACTACGCGTTGTCAAGGTCAGTGATGATTGGGCATGCACAATACAACTACTTCAGACAATAAAGATTCACAAACTCATCAACTGATTTACCATTTAAGTCTAATACTGCTACTATATGCCCGATGTCAACATTGTTCTCTTTGATGAATCCAAACATAAGTGAGGAATATAATAATGACCAGTAAGATTGTTTTTTATTGAAATAAAACATTGTAGTAATTAACTTACTATGGATTTTGTTTTCTCGGGACGTGTAGCAATCGGTGGTGGATGTACACCACTATTATTGACAATCATAGTATTATTATTTAAAGGTAAAATTGTTCGTTGACAAGAAGGTGTACCAGCAAGTGATTCACGTCGTGGTGTAGGTACCGGAGTTGCAGATCCTGCTGGAGAAGGGGATGACTGACCTGAAGAACAATATTGAATAGTTGCATTGTTAGAAATGTCAGGAGGTGATAGAATGCCATCAGCAAATCGTCTTGGCAGACCAGGTGATAAAGGGGGTGGTGGATTATTTAAATGTGAATGAATTTGTGGACGCCAGGGAGTTTTTTGATTTGTTTGGTTGATAAAATCTAGATTGGATTGTTTAGAGGACAATGATGATGAAGATGGTTGCATCACATAAGGAGATGGATGAGGCGGCATAGAACGATTATTGACGCTCGTGACAGTGCTTAAATTAGTAGAGGAGCCCATAGTTACTGATCTTATTTCATGATCTGAATGGATCTAAATGAAATCAAAAGAAGAAACAAAAATCAACTCGTTCTAATCAGATCGAATAAGATCATTTTTAAAATAAAAAAATCCATTTTTATTAACTTCTAACAATACGATTTCAGTTTTGTAGTGACAAAATATCTCAAACAACGCCTGTTAAAACAAAAATCGATGCTACTCAATCATTTGATGATGATACACTGCAAAATTTTAACGGTAATAATCAGAGTTAAGTTTCATGATGAATGTTACAAGTAAGAATCAAAAACAGTGCTTATAAGTTATTGAAGTGTTTATGGTAGTATTCACAGTAGATAACATACTGAAAGGATGTTTTTGATATGACATCAGTTTTGAGCAATGCTACAGCTACTGTTTACATCTAAAATATCCTAGAGGTAAAGGTTAATAATCCCTTACAGACTGTATTTTAGTCTTACAAAACGAACTCTCACTTCTCCGTGGCATTTTCTTCATGGACCTATGGATCGAATCCCATATGCCTAACCTTGTTTTCCGATAATTTGTCTTTTTATATTAAAAAACCGTGACCAGTTAATCCCAACCTTGTGGGGCGTCAGACAATTATCTATCTGAAGCAATAAATGCAGCTTGTGCGATATTGTGTACTTATTGCAGTTGGATACTAACACCGTTGGATTCCGAACCAGTGGTCTAGAGGTTAAGTATTCGCGCGCGAAACTGAGGGTTTTGGGTTCGGTTTCCGGATGAGGGGTCGTGGATGCGCACTACTGAGTCCCATGCTAATGGTGGCCTAAATGAGATCAGTTCGTGGCATAAACTATGAAAATTCTACAATCTCCACAAGTCCTGCTATATTAACCATCTTTCAACGCCATTTGTTAATGTTCAAGGCCAACTAACAACTACATATATAGGTTTGCTGCTTTTTCTTGGGGCAGATAAAGTGGTTATATAGGCAGTTTTAGTCAAAGCTGCTTAATCGGTTCATTTACTTTCAATTTCGTCATCAATGATATTCTGAAAACAGCTGTGAAGAAAGTACATGACGACATAGAACGGTAAACTAGAGACAATTTTCAAAGTTGAGCATTCGTATGATATTACCTTACTGTAGCATAAACACAAATTAATTCAATTACACTTCATTAGCTGGAAACGCCTGTTGAAATGTCTAGAATCCGATTATATGAGTATTTGATCCCACGATGATGATGGTACCATGGTAAATAATATCGGTTTACGAGTAATAAAAACTAAAACGTTTATACCAATATGGAACATTTTCAGCAACATTTAGATATTAGTTTGGTTGTAAATGGTTGGATGAATGAAGCCATCATGATAGCAGTTCTACTCTATATTTGTAAAAACTGGTTACTATGTGCTCTATCAACAACGGTAACACGATATAAGTAATGCAGGAATCTAGCAATATATATGTTGAGACATAGAGATGCTAATCCAATCACTGTATAACTCGTGCTCTCAAAATGTTGACACAGAAGATTCCACACCATGCATTATTCGCCAACTTTGCAGCTGGAGGAGAAAACTGTAGAGATAGTTAGTTAATGACTTGATGTCATGAAACAATAGACAGTTAGTTGCACTGAATTGGCACTTATGGGTCTATTATGACATCACCTGATGAAATTTTAAGAAATATACAACTCAGGATAATATCATAATAAAAACTAGTGATAACTTTATAAGTAAAGATGGATAGTGGCTAGCAGTCGAAACCAGGACGCGCGTGTCTTCCTATTTAGGAATCCTCAACTGGATTTACCTGTATCTAAGATTTGATATTCACTCTGGGACTCGAATCCAGTACCGCCTGCTTCAAACGCCATAGTGTTATCCATTTAGCTACTGAGTCCTGATTAGCCACTTCCTTGTGCAATGGGGTGAAGTTTAAATTCATTTGCTATCAGGACTCAGTATCTAAGTGGATAACCCAATGGCGTTTAAAGCGAACGGTACCGGGTTCGAGTCCCAGAGTGAACATAGACTCTGAGATGCAGGTACATCCACCTGACGAGTCCCAAATAGGACGAACCGCGTGTCAAACTGGATTCGAATGCTAACCACTATCCACCTTTGCCTATAATGCTTGTGAATTAAGGCAATATCGAGGCAATCTGTACAGGATGCACATATGCCAATAGGAGACTGACTGATCAATTGCAGTTCTAAATATCAATGGGAAGATTCAAGTGAAATTTAGTGATAACGTTGTTTTAGACTTTATAATTAAATTGTCCATAAAGACAAGAAAAAATTCACCATTTTAACTGAATGAAATATGCCTTAGTTGTGGATTATAATCGAATTGTCTTTTAAAATAAGAAATATTCTTATTTAGTTACTAACTATATGATTTTCTCTAGTACCTTTTCACAATATTACAATTTCACGTTGTGTGATACGACTTCCCTGTCGTTTAAAAATATCCTAAGGTGTTAATTAGAGAGAAATAGATCACCATGGTGGAGGGAGGGGAGAACATGATGTAATATTAATTAAACAACTATGGTTAAATTAGAGAAAGTTATTACATTAATTGAAGTTGTTTAAAAGAACAATCGTGAATATTTTGCGGTTAAAAAACTCCGGATAAGTTGTTTTGTTTGTTTGTTTTCTTTAATTTGGTTGAAAAAAAAGACGTTTATACATATTCTTCATCTTTTTGTAAGTCTTATTCTAAATCATTTCTATATCATATCGAATTCGAACTCCATCCCCATAGCGTTGCAATAGCTACAATTGTTTTCAATGCTTTTACTTTCGTCCTTTCTTTCCTTTCTTCATTTCTCTCCCTTTCGAATCCCACATTGTTTATCCTATATTATATTATTTATAACGTTATTTTGTTCCTACATGTACAAATAATTCAGTGTGGTAATTTACCCTGGTTAAATAACTGTCTACTTAAATGTTATAAGTTAATTTATTTAGATAACTTATTTATCCACAAATAAAGATAGTACATTATTCAATATCATGAATTTTATTAATTTAAACACATCCCAACCGTAGCTGATACCCCCGACCACAACCCGACTGTATTTGCTACCTTGACGCGGTGGTTGGGTTTGCCTATCGTGATGACCTAACCGAGCTATAATGGCTGGAATATATGTTCCTTTAGGCAGGTCGATTGGAAAACGGTAAGACTAAAAGCAGCAACTCAAAGTCTGAGGGCGAAGTCGTATTGCTGACTGTAGAGAGGTGTGACAGCAGTAGTCAGTCAGTCAGTCAGCTACAACGTAGGACCAGGCACATATGTGCATCGGTCCAGGTTGCCATACCTCATTAGCACAGCAAGATGAACACCGGATTCATAGGAGTGGTTAGGTCAAAGGTTGCAATAAGGATATAGTATAGGAAGGAAGAATTAGTTCGTAGAAAGAAAGAATGAAGTGATTTTAGTCTCTTAGTTTAAGGGAAGACAGGGAGTGTATACACCGACGCCATTGTGATCGATTCTGAGCCATGTCACCAAGAGTCTCCAACCATTGGTTACGATAGTCACGCGGACCCCAACCAAGTAGTCTGCATCTACCAACATGGCTCAGACTAAAAGTTAGTGACTTCAAGCACTGATGCCACGTTTTGGTTTGGCCACCCCTAACTTTCTTCCAACCAACCCCTACACCGGTTAGCATTGCACGTCGTGGTAATCGGTGTTCAGGCATACGTAATACGTGGCCCAACCATCTCAGTCGATGAAGATTCATAACCTCATCAACTGATTTACCATCATTCCCTAATACCCTGCGTCTAACCTCACTATTACTTACCCGGTGATCCCAGCAGATGCCAGCAATATTTCTAAGGCATCTGTGGTCAAATACTTGTAGCTTACGGGTGTCTCCTACTCTTAAAGGCCATGTTTCGCTGCCGTAAAGTAAGACAGAACGGACTGCCGCGCAGTATACTCGTCCTTTTATTGATAGACGGATATCTCGCCTCCGCCAAAGGTGACGTAAGTTGGCAAAAGCCAAACGAGCTTTTCGAATCCGTGCTGAGATTTCGTCAGACACCAACCCATTAGGGCTGATCAGACTTCCAAGATAAGTGAAGTTGTCGACGCGTTCGACTACTTCACTCCCTATCCTTAGTTCAGGTGTTGACGCACACCAGTCCTGAAGCAACAACTTGCATTTAGAGGGAGAGAAGCGCATCCCAAACATTCTGGCATTGTTGCTTAGTGCTACCAGAAGACTCTGCATTTTGTCAGCGTCTTCACCAAACAGGACTATATCATCTGCGTATTCTAAGTCGATAAGTGGACCTCCTGGAAGGAGATCAATACCCGAGAATTCAGTCGACGAGAGTGTTATTTCCATCAATAGGTCTATGATGAAGTTAAACAAAAATGGAGAAAGTGGACAGCCTTGACGGACACCACTTGAAGTTGCAAAAGTAGATGACAGTTCGCCATAAGCTCTGACTCGACTAGTAGTGTTCGAGTAAAGAGCCTTCACAAGGTTTATGTACTTCTGAGGTACGCCTTTCAATGACAGACACTGCCACAGAGTCTCGCGGTCTACAGAGTCAAACGCTGCTTTTAAGTCAAGAAAGACCACCATCGTCGGACGCCGATAGGTATGCCTGTGTTCTAGAACCTGACGAATGGTGAATATGTGGTCGATGCAGCCACGACCAGGTCTAAAGCCAGCTTGGTTCTCTCGAGTTTGTAGTTCACGAGTCTTAGTTAGGCGTCTGATAATTATCGAGGCCAGTATTTTAGATACTATGTTTGTTAAACTAATCCCTCTGTGGTTGTCACAGGATGATTTTGACCCTTTCTTATATATTGGGACGATGAGTGATTGCGACCAGTCAGATGGGATAAAATCTAATTCCCAGATCTTAGCTAAAATATTAGTCAACCTAATCGCTAAAATTGGACCACCATCCTTAAAGACCTCTGGAGCCAATCCATCTGGACCAGCTGCCCTTCCTCGTTTCAGATTAACTATAGCCTTTTGAACTTCAGCAAGAGTTGGGGGACCTACTTCAATGTTCCATTCACATTGTCTGGGAATGGAGGGTAGTTGTAGAGTAGCTGAAGGCCAGCTGAACTGTTCTCTAAAATGTTCCGCCCATCGTTCTAAGCGTCTGGACTGGGAGCAGATGAGAGTATCATCTTTTTCCGAAATAATCTCACTTACACTTGACTTATTAATTCCAGTTTCTTTTATTAGTCTGTAAAGCTGTCTTGTGTTCCCTATAGTCGCCGCCTTTTCCATCTCTTTTGCTTTCGTTACCCACCACTGCTCACGGTCGTTCCTTAGACTTTTTCTTAACCTAGATCTGATTTGTTTTCGCTCTTCATCATGTTCAGAACCTGATGGGACGAGTTTGCGAGAATCCATCAGTGTGACAGACCTTGAAGAAATCCACTGGTTCCTTGCAACTCTGTGGTTTAAGTCACTAATAGATGTCACTGCTGTTTCCACAGCTGATTGTATGCTCTTCCAAGCAACATCTGGGTCAGCCTCGTCTTCACAACTACCTAAGTGTGACCTCAGTTGTTCCTGGAACCTACTTTTGGTTTTCTCGTTACTCAACTCAGTTCTAACGGGTCTTTTTAATGTGGCTTTTTTGCGTCCAGTGAGGCGCAAGCAGATGCGTGCCCGTACTAGGGCATGGTCGGAGTCCAAGCAGGTACTCCAGAATGAGCGACAATCTTCTACCGACCCTCTCCAACGATGACTGATGGCAATATGGTCTATTTGAGTCCATCGTTGGTTTGGTGTAGGGGGTCGCCATGTTAGACGATGTCTCTCCTTATGCTTAAAATTTGTATTTGCTAAAAATAAACGATTGTCTGAGCATAGCTGCAGCAGACGATCACCATTATCTGTTCGCTGTGTCGGAATACTAAAATATCCACCTAAATGCCTTTCTGTTTGACAGCAGTAGGGTGATCGATAGCATTCGATCTGCACTAATAAGGACTAGACACGCATCACATTGATCGCCACCCAGTGATCAATCAATTGTGATTACATCTCAGTCCGACAGGAGGTTAGTCACGGCTCGGATAGCTCAGTGGTAACGTCTCTGACTGTGAAGCTGGGTGACACGAGATCGAATCCGCCAGGGAGCACCAGTTCCCTCAAGATTACAAGTACACCTTGCTGACGAGTGCCAAGTAGCACGAAACCCGGGTCCAGGGTTTCCTGTTGACTACCTCCAACCACCATCTAAATCTCAATACATAGTGCCCGCAGTGTCGAGTCACCTAGATTGGTGGACACATTGCAACATGATCGATAGCATTCGATCTGCACTAATAAGGACTAAACAAGCATGAGATTGATCACTACCCAGTGATCAATCAATTGTAAGGTGTTTCCCTCGGACAACCAGCATCTGCAGCGATGTTGCCTTCTCACAAAGAAGGAAGGGGTTAGAAAAGGTTGACCCTAAAAATGTTAAACCACACCTTTCCCCACGGGTTTCCGTCTCCGACGGTAAGGCCCTTTGAAGAACGGAGCTAACACATTAAAAACCTCCCACGAAAAGGCCGTGCGCGACCGGCCTCAAGCAGTTGTCCCTTGAGCTCTGCGGTTACGCTCGCAAGTCGCTAAAACCAACACTAATCCGATTTCCTTTTCAGGTTCCTCAAGAAATACCCTTCCACGGAGTGGGCAGCCGGGAAGTGATATCAGTCCATATACCCATAACAGCACATGAGGCCAAGTTGGTCACATTCAAATCCTTCCTACACCTCCTAGTAACTCTTTTATCTCCACGACTAACCCTTCTCATGTCCCTTTAAAAAGTAATATCAACATCAACTGGAATCTTTCTGAAGAGACAACATGTTACCTAAATTTCTGCTGTTACATGTTATTTGTTTCTTTAAAGTATAAACTTGATGACATTTTCCTGATTTATATTTTCGTAATAACCTCTGGTGTCATTGGATCGGTTACTATCGCTTTTAGTTTGTTAGCCTTGTCATATAACGCCAAGATCATTGGATGTTACGTTATAAATAAAGTTGCTCCATTTCAATTCCCGACATTTGTATGGAACTTAAAGTTACTCTGAAAGTACTATCATCTCTATCAGCGTGTGAATTATTAACATATTGTTCTATTCTGATCTATTCGAGTTCTTACAAATTCTATCGTATTGGAAGAATCTTCAATCATTCACAAATAGAACTTACCATAGGCCAACTGCTATTAAGTATTAAAATAGAGGTGGAGTTTTACACTACAAAAAAAGAAATAAGCCAATATGGTTTTTCCTTTTTAAAAAAATGAGAAAAACCCACTCTACAAACTATACAAATTTCCAGTGAATGAACAACTTACCCCGGGTTCAGTAGCCCCTCTATGAGATACCATATTAGAATGATGATGATGTTGATAAGAACCAGGTGTGCAAGTAGTGTTTCCAACGATGCATGTATGATTATGAAGCGCTGGGGCTAATGGAGGTAAGGTAAGTGAAGATTGATGAATTGCTTGGGAATCAGATATCGAATTAAGAAGAGTTGTGTTAGCTGCGTTATCCATAGATGGATTAGATATTGCAGAATAATTTAACGCTTGACCTGAAGGACTAAATGATAATTTATGCGGAAGAAGCGGTGCAGGTATAAGTTCAACTCCATTGATGACGGCTGGTGGTGCTGGCCCACTTCCTGTACTTGAAGAATAACTACTACCTGAACTACTGTAACTACTTGACGGAGGAATAGCTACATTGGAGCTACCAGAAGGACTAAGAACCATTCCAGACATTTGGATACCACTGGAACCACCAACACCTCCATGACCGCTACTACTACTTCGACTAACAGCACCACCACTACCACTTCCACTTCGACTTCCAATACCTTCACTACTGCCACGACCACTGCTTAAACTGCTACTTCTTGGTCCGACATCAACTGAACATGATATTCTAGTTAATGAGGTAACACGTTCTGTATCCGGTGTACAACATTTGGTACAATTTGATGCTGGTAATGAAAGTGCTTGACTAATATTTGAATCGTTTGAAGTGTTAATTTGATCAGTTGAAGACAGATCCAATGCTAAAATGTTTAATTGATTGCACAAAAAAAACAATTTTTATTAGTCGAGTGATTCGTAAAAACAACTGTAGTAAAATCCAGTATTTAAGAACAGAACTACACTTAAACTTGTGATCAAATATACAATGGGAAATCTAGAAGATTTATAACTAATTAATGGTTGATAAATACATACATCCTTCAAAGTTTAAATATTGAAAGGGATTCTTAATCGAACTGTACATTGCATTGAGCATATAACGTAAACTCAGTGTTCATTTTATTTCCTTAAACATATAAACATTGGTAAAAGGAGGCATCAAATATATATGAGCCACATAAATTATTCGATTGGTGTGAGGGCTGGGATACTTTCCGTGTGCCCAGAAAGAAGCAGGTGGTTTTCTTAATGGGACACATCTGGAGCCTTCGACCTAAAGGTTCAATTCACAAGGCAGTACAGCAACGTAAGGAGATGCCGTCCCATGGTAGCCGGTCACCAACGATAGATTCATACGCCATTTTTTCCCTCAGGATTCTGGAGCCTATGTCAACCATTGATTTAAAATGAGGGTTTTCCAACTCTCCTACGTAAATTCTCCATATCCACCGACCCAGCTAAAGCGTCGGACGTCCGATTTTCGTCCTCTCAATTGTGTGAACAGTAATGCGGCGAGAAGACAGTGAGTAGGATTTGAGTGACAGTGGTTGTATGCACATGATCGTGGAGAGCTGACTCTCTCCACTCTCGGCATTTGGGGGGGGGGAGAATTCAAATCCAATTATTAGATACAGAAAAAATAAGAATGTGACAATACTTTAATGATACCACAATAATGACTATTTCCACAAGAAAGCTTTTGATATATTGAGAGAAAGGACAATCCATTTGTATAACATTAATAAGAAAATTAGTGATCACTAAGCAGCTTTTTGATTCGTTCCACTTAGAAATTATTACTTAACAAGTGAGCACTCTCAATCTGACAAAGGATAAGATGTAGATTATTAAAGCTAACACTGACTTGTAAGTTGTCTTGGTTTGTTTAATGATCTTCACAAATGGATACAAATATTACTGTATATTAAAGTAAAGAAGGGTGAAGATCTAGTTGAAAACAATATTGTTCACTTATATTGTTGTGTATGCTAATTATAGAGAGAGAGATGTAAGTAGTATGTAGCAGCAGTCAGCAGTGCAATGCTTGTCGAAAGAAGGTTGAAGTAAAGAAAACAGAAACGAATCGGAATAAAAACAGAATTGAGAGAATCATAAAGGATATAAAGGATAACTGAAAGGTGTACACATGATGTAAGATTTTTACATTTTACTAAATCACTGTGTGATTGTGGGTTAAACAAAAAAATTGATCTTTCCAACCTAAGTTCTCGTTCACTACAATATGTGTTATTCTAATTTACACAATAGGAATTCTTAATATTCAAGGTTTGAACAGTATCACCGAATTTTACCAAGTTAGAACTCAACAATCATTGTTGAAATTCAGTTAAATCAATAACAAACAGTCAGTCAGTAACTACGTAGAACTTCGAACGTACGTACATCAATTCAAGTTGCCATGCCACATTAACACAGCAAGATGAACACCGGATTCGTAGTAGATAATTCAATGGTGGTAATATATAAAAGAAAGATTGTATACAAGAAGATAGTACAGGAAGAAAGAAATAGTTCGTAGAAAGAAAGATATGAAGTGACTTTAATCCCTAAGTTTAAGGTAAGACAGATAGTGTATACACACCTACGCCATTGTGATCGATTCTGAACCATGTAACACACAGTCTCCAATCATTGGTTACGAAAGTCACGTGGACCCCAACCAAGTAGTCCGCATCTACCAACATGGTACAAACTAGAAGTCAGTGACTTCAAGGACTGATGCCACGTTTTGGTTTGGCCACCCCTAACTTTCTTTCAACCATTCCGAACACTAATCAGCATTGCAATTAGAACACAGTACATAATATCGCTTTAAACACCAACGTATCATCCAATAAACTACTGGGTACAGATAAGCTGATAACTTAGTCAAGGGGCATAAAATTATTTGTAAGGGTTCGCATTTCCCCATTATTGATATTGAGTATAGAAAATGATCAGTCCATATTGACATACGTGGATATTGAGTGGATTGGCTCAATATTGACATTTAGTGACGAATTTATTAAAATTGAATTGTGCTTGATAGTAGAATTTAAGACGATCGTTTCATGTTATTTGGGACAAGTTAACTAGCCGTCTGGGCTGAGACTTGGTAGGATAACACGATGGCTCTTGAAGCAATACTAAAGTAATGGGTTCTAATCTCAAAGTGAACATCAGCGATAGAATGTAGTAGATACATTCAGCTGACAAATCAGAAATAAGATGAAATGTGAATCCTAAACTTTATTGCTAAATACAACCAAAATTTACTGAATCTGGTGACTAAATGCCAATACTAAGACAATCCTCCCAAAATACGCGTATGTTGAGAGGAATCAACCAGTTGCTACAGTCCTGAATATGCAAGCTGGTTGTTTATTCCTATAAAATATAAAATAATCCGATCAATAGTAAACCGACACTGAATCTCATTAATATCTAAAGAAAAGTGTTTATACAATCATGTAGTATTATCACATCAACACAATTAACAGGACAATGAGTTAAATTTAAAAATCCAATCGGAAATTTCTCAGCATGAAACCAAGTTTAACAGCTCAATTGGTGTTTTTTTACTTGTATCTTCCCATTTTATTATTTAGGACTGTAACTGATCAGTCTCATGTTGGCATATATGCATCCTGTACGGACTGTCTTGATATAGCCTTAAGTAACAAGCCTTTTAAGCAAAGATGGATAGTGGCTAGCAGTGGAATTCAATTTGACACGCGTTTCGTCCTATTTAGGACTCGTCAGCTGGATGTACATGCATCTCAGAGTTGATGTTCACTTCGAATTTCTATATATAAATCACCAAATTGAGAAAATGAATTTATTTTCAAACAACACAAGAAAGTAGTCGAGTCTCAAGTTCATGATAACATATATATGTACAGTGTGTAGTATACTAACGTACATATGATCAAGGTCAAATAATGTACATGATTACGGGTAATCACTCTCTCTCTCTCTCTCCTTTTATAGTTTAATTACGAACATGCACACATACACATACATCGAGGAACAATTGAAGCATAGAGACAAATATATTTCCAAGGAAAAAAAGTGCAGTTATTTACTTTAATCCTTATAATATTTTGGCCATAAAACAAGGAACAAATAAAGTACCTACATTATATACGTAGATGTACATAATTAATTACTTAATTAATACGCTAAAAGTAAAAGAAATCAATAATTTGGTTGCATTACATAAATGTAACAGTGAATGATGCTTCTGTGTAGGTATATGTATATGTATAAGAGTGAATGTCTGAATCAATGATGACATTTGATGAATTACAAAGAAAATGGTAAGTTGAAGAAGAAGAAGAAGAAGAAAATAGTGTAAACAAATGAATAAATAAATATGATGAAGAGTAAATAAGGAAGAGAGAAAATAAGTATTGGATAGTAACAGAGTGAAAAAGAAGTACTCTCTGTTTCCCCCTTTCTCTCTCTCTCTCTCTTTAATTATGGGCAAATTTAGTATACACATAAATACAAACATGAACTTTGATTACATCAGATGTTTTATACATGCATATAAATATATGTATGTATAAATGATGAACAATAATTGGTGTCATCGATTGACCAGGAAACTAGGCCACCTAAATTGATTTTTTTTAGCATACTACATGTAGCAGTACAACAATTACAACTTATATACATATATAAAGAAATGATATACTGTTAAGTTCCAATTCAAATATTGGCAAACAATTAATAAATTGGAATCATGAGTCAATTGAAGCTAGACCACCATGGAAAACCTGGAAGCACTGGACGGCCGTTTCGTCCTAGTATGGGACTCCTCAGCAGTGCGCATCCACGATCCCACACCCCGCGAGATTCGAACCCAGGAACTATCAGTCTCGCGCCAGGTGCTTAACCAACTAAACCACTGAGCCGGCGTCCAATGGTATTAATGTCTAACTTCAACCAACCCACGAAGTTGAGCCACTGTACACCATTGTCTTCAGTGAGCTGATATCTCACAACAGACCTAGTTGAACTCCACTGGTAACGGCTTCTCACTAGAACTCCAGGAGTATCTCTTGAAGTCAGTCACTAGTGAGCATACTACATATAGCAGTACAACAATTACAACTTATATACATATATAAAGGAATGATATACTGTTAAGTTCCAATTTAAATATTGGCAAACAATTAATGGGTTGAGAGGAAAGTAATAACAAATTATTGCCTTTATATAACTTATGTAATCATTCTTTTATATATTACCACCATTGAATGAACTACTTCTATGAATTCGGTGTTTATCTTGTTGTGTTAATGAGGTAATGGCAACTTGAACTGATGCATATATATGTGCCTCTGATCCTACGTTATAGTTAACTGACTGACTGACTCAGATGATTAGCAACATTCTACATGAAAGAGCTTGGATCATATTGTTAGGTGAAACGTTGGATTTACTTCAAATTCTTTCGCTAAGATTTTATAAATACATTCTTCCTGTTTAAAATGTCTTACATCAACTCGGCGCCCAAATACTGTGAAACATTCTATATGGTTTTAAGATTATTTTAAAACGACTGAATTCTGTAAAAATATTACTCAGTATGATGCAATAACACCAACTATTTAGCACCTCATCATGTTGGTAAATATTTCTGTATTTTGTTTAATATTCAAAGGAAGTTGTTGGCATAAACAATGAAATTGTCAAACGCCTTTAATAGTAAGTGGGTTGTTGTTACTTCCCAGTTTTCTATTCATTGGAAAGATATTACTTTTCTCAAAAATCTTCAGAAGAAAATTAAGTATGGTTTTGACGACCTGAGAGAATGAATATAGAGACCAAAAGATATTTATCTGACACATTC